AATTTAATTTAATATTATACAACTAATAAAGATCGAGGAACTTATTATATTTGTTAAATACTGTTAATTTAGTGCAGGTTACGATCCGTGACGAGCTACATTCGAAAAATAACTGGAACAATTATAAATATGGACTTGATTAACACTGTCCATTACATTCAATGCATTCAAATTTCGCAATTATTTTTTTCAAATGTAGGCTGTTTGTCATAGTATTTAAGTTCACTATAGTTCCTTCATCATCTTAGTAAATTCCGACCACATCAATTCCAATCACATTGATTGTTATACGAAGCCAAGTATTCATTATCCATTTCATCGTCACTTTAATGATATAGTTCGAATAATTATCAAGAAGAAAGCGTATATACAAACATAAGCTTTTGTCACGCTCTTATTACAGAATGATACTGTCTCAACGATAATATTGTCATTTCTTGTAAATTGGTATTTCCGTAAATACTATCTTTCTGTTTGTAAGAGATTTGTATTCTTAACCGAACACTCTTAATTAAAAGTATTTTATCTGATCGATAATGCTCATTTTTTAAATGTATTTCCATTATATAATTAATTGAAAAATCTTAACCTATTTCTCAATATGCACTACATATATCTCTTAACACTATTCTATGATATGAGCTAATAACACACAAGATACACGTTTAAAAGGAGGGATAATTAAATGATGGACAAGCGATAAAACTTGTTTAAAAGCTTTCTTCACTAATTGTTACAACGTGCAATGCATTCCCACCTTATTAATTGTTATACCTGATAGAAAATGCTATGAGCATGTGGTCGCATATGTAGTTGTATGACCGTAAATATATGACAGTATTTTCCTTTATAAGTAGGAGAGAGAGAGAAAGAGAGAGGAGGGGAGGAGAAAGAGAGGGAGAGGGAGAGAAACAAATATGCGTTTCCCGGATGTAATCGTCATTCTTGCGAATGATAATAACGTAAGAGCAACGGAGAAAGAGAGAACTAGTACAGTTAGGCGACCGAAAGAAAGGACGATGCGATAATGGACTAAGCTAATGGAATCACTAAGTGAAAACGTCAGAATCTCAGTGACAATTCTAATTGATGGACAGACAGATACTTGCAACTGAACTTGAAAGTGAATTTGTAATAAAAAATATTATTATGCAGACATACAATGCAGACGAAGAAGTTGTTTTACCAGCATAAAATATCTCTTCTCTTTCGACTTATTCGATTCGTCTAAACAATACGAAGATATATTACAATTGAAACAATACGAATGTGATATATAATATGATAATGTAACAAAATAAAAAATTAATAGCGTAGATATATTAAATAAATATTATTTTAATAAACATTTTACATTTCTTACTATGTTTATTTGCGACAGATTATGCAATTTAATAATATAAATGTATCAGTGTTAACAGAAAAACATCATTTTGAAAAATTATGTTAACTCTAACTGATGTAATATTTGTAATAAATTTTTTTTTTTAGTATTTTGAAACGCTTATTAGCATTATTACTATTATAATATTGACAATTAATTTAATTTGTGATACTATTATTGCCAATTTGAATTTAGGACTGTGTTTTCAAGACTGTATGTTTTCAGTACACAGTTTGAAATACTGGAAAATGTATTTAAATATAAATATAGAAATATTATTAAGCACTAGATCTAACTTTGACTGCATTTAGAGTTTCTTTACTTAATTGATTTATTCGTATAAGCGGAGTTTAATTCAACTTATTACTGATATTATAAAATGTTTGTTATATATAATTAACGAAATAGAACAAATAAAAGAAAAACGTTTCTTGATATGTTCAATTCGGCTTTTAAAGCTATGTGTTTAATTATAATCTATGCGTATATAATAAAATATAGAAATAATACAATAATACGATATTGCAAAATGTAAAGTAACTCGTATTATTAGATCTAATACTCGTATTCATAGGTCTTATATTTAAAGCTTCCTTAAATTTATCTTTAGATACTCTACGAATTATTTCATTGGCTGCTGAGTATCTAAAGATAAATTTAAGAAAGGTCTTAAATACAAGGTCTGACTATGAACACGGACATATTTAAGAATTTTATCTCTAAATAATATAATACAAAAGTTGATAAAATATTTCTTATATTTTAAATTAATTATATGAATAAGATGTGACGAAAATAATTCTCTCTGTTAAATCTAATAATATCTAACTTTGGTCATGATTTTTATGTTGATAATTATATAATCTAAATCTCTCGTTAATATATTTCAAAATTTACGACCAATTAACTACTTTGAGTCAAAAACAAAATTCCTCTTATTTTGTTTACTTTGTCCCGAATCGCTATTTCCGTCATAAACATTGACAACTTCTCTAATAACATGCTGATCATAAGGACTGTAGTCCTGTAAGGGTCTATAAGGTCGCTGCGGGTAATGATAATCATAATGGGTATATACACCAGCCGGTGTGTCGTGTCCATAAGCGTGGAAGCCATTAAACGCGTTTGTCGAGTAAGGAGGTACAGCAGGTGCACCGGAAAAGAGCGTATTCCATCCTAAAAGACCGATCAGAAACAACGCCATCTTCGTCAATAAGAGGGCCTTCTTGGTCACGATTAACAGGAAACCGAACATGAGCGGAATTAGTGAGGCCAGATTGAATTTGAAACCCAATAGAAATGGCAGTAATATGTGTCTAGTCAACTGCCTTCCTGAAATAATAGAAATTGATCTTGAATTTGCAACCAATCCAGTTGTCTTGATAGTGCTGCCTGCTAGAGGACGTTCTTCAAACTGGTTGTAACATGTAACGTCTTAACCAGTACAAGAATCAGCATAAGGTTTAATTCCACGCTAAGATAACAGTAATAGTGAGAATAGAGTAATTCTGCGTGTAACAAGCTACAATTTTTTGAAACAAGCACTTTGTAACTTTATTCATTTTATATAATCATTCTTTCACAAATTATTTGAAACAGTTGCATGTAATTCTTACATTACATCATTTGCACAAATTATTACCAATAAATTTTATGTACACATGTTTTTTGTGTGCTAATAAATTATTAGCAAAGAACATATAATACATATATAAAAAATATTTGTAAAATTTACAATATTAAAAAAAATATTACGTAAAAACGTTCTCACAGTTAAATAAAATTCTGCTTTATCTTTATGCAGAATAACAATTATATATACGTATTTGAAACAAATTTTTCTTAACGTTTGTTTCTAAATTATAAATACGAGCTTATTGAAGAGATAATCAAATTTAAAATTAATTTTAATTAATTTTACAAAAATAATATTATAGCTTACCTGTACTAGTCTGCCTATCGCCGTACGAAGGAACTCTTTCATTAATAACAAATTCCAGTATTCCGTTTCCGTTTAGCATTGGTCCAATACGCATCTGTAATCCCGGATATATATTATCCAAATTCCACTTGGCATTACGGCGTTCCATAAGTCTGGCAGCTGCCTTTACAACATTTCCGAAATCTTTTGGATCGTAATCCAGATCCAAAAGATCTCTACCGTAGCCCTCCGCTCTGTCAAGTCGCATCTTTCCAAACTCCAAACTATCATTATCGTTTAATGACTGCAAGGTATTTAAAATGCCACGATTTATGCATTCGAATGTACCATGTTCCTTTTTTGCGAGACATAAACCAAGAACTTCATTGAAGCTATAGGAATGTTCATCGTCTAAAGTGATATGTTCCTTGGACTCCATGATCACTGTAAAACTCGTAGACACGAGAAAGAGTAAACTTAAATAACGGAGTTCGCTTTTCATCTTCGGAGCACCGATCTCTCAAATCGTATAAGTGTGTTTAGATAAAATTAAACATTGAATCAAAAATTTATAAGAATTAAAATAAACAGAACAAAGATACAAGGATTTTAGGAAATTTATAAAAACTTTTGCACAATCGTTTTATTTAAATTTAATTTTTTTTTCCAAGGCACAAAAAATAATCCACACTGTAAGATAACAGACACTCAAAAATTTTTGATTTTTAGAATGCTTTTCACATCTTCGAGCTATCATAATTTTGTTTCTTTAATTTTGTAAGATTGTAACAGAAAATCCTGTTATAAGGACGAGCTGTAGAGTAATGAAGTTCCCGTAAAATACTGTTCATACTGTTCCTGCGATCACCTACCTATATAGGCGACAAGAGGGCGTTCACACACGACAGAACAATTGGTTTCACTCGGAAGATTTTATAAGTAGCGAAAGTATACTTCGTTTGTATTTTGTGCGCACGAAGCTTGGTCGATACACCGGATGCACTGTGAAGCGTAATTTCCTTTGGTCGAAGAATGGAGTGTCCGAAAGATCGTTATATCTTCAGATTGATAGGACAAGCTTGATGGCTGAGCAAGAAAAATTGGGAACACAAGTAGCGCGGATATAATTGCCGAATTTGCGTAAATCTGGAACATACGAGATCTAAAGATCGTCATCCAGCAAGACATTTAAAGTATTGGATTAAGTTTTTGAATTGTGATATATTTTTAAATCTTTTTCTCATTTTTAAAATAATATTATTTTCAGACTGAAATATTATTTTCACTTGAAAATAATTTTTTAACTCTGACGTAAAGTTATGTATATAAATATATCTATATCTTATACGTAGTTTATCGCTATTGTAATATGGTTTCAAAAATTCTTATATCAATATAATCTTATTATATTTGTTGGAATTTGTTTTTTTTTTTTGTGGTAAAGGATATTTGCGTGATAATATGGAAGAGAAATATTTGGAAAGAAATAAAATTGAGTCAATTTTTAATATTATATAAAAATTACAATTTATTTATAAATAATATGATAAGTTACATGATGATCCCAAAATGGGGTATATAAATAATCATTGGATTAAATCTGGTGATCCCGTGCGAGTACTGACTACGAGTCGTTCCGCATATGATAGACACGGAGGATTCTGAAAGGATACCGCACGGGTATGACGGAGGGGGCGCGACTTCTACCATTCTGACAGGATTCCACTTGAGAGTCTTTCGAGATTCTCATAATCTCTGAGCACAGTATTCTGTTGATGTTGGTAAAGTGATAAGCTTCGTCATAGATTTGTCGTAATGTATCGAACCACACAACTATCGTAGTATCCTTATTGGTTGTCCTTATTGAATTACAGCACCGTCGTCCAAGTCGTCAAGTCATCGTACCGTTAAATCCAGTTCACGCAAAATCCAGTAATCTCGTCCGTATCTAACAGTCCTTTACCCGTCCACATAGAATTGCGTTCAGTATAGTCGTTTGTATATCGTAAGGTAAACGTCTTTGTCGTCGAGCTGAACTTGTTCACGGATCCCTGAGAAGTTGAGTCACGCCACCCTCAGGTGATCGATGGATTATGGACGATCACTTTGGCGAATGTAGGTAGAAAATTAGAAAGGGAAGAAGTTATGCGTAACTTTGAGCTATTCGGAAGGTTTGTACGCCTTGTATGCGAGATCAGAACCAGCCGATGATCTCGCCCAGCCGTGACCATGGTCGTGATGCACTTCGTGTCCATAATCATGAACGGGGTGAGCAACGACCTCGTAACTCTGGCTCTTGTAGGCAAGGAGTTTTTGCAGACCGATGATCAAGCTAATGATGAGAGCGATCTTGCCGATGATAAGGGCTTTGAAAGCTATCAAAGCCAAAGCACCAAGGGCAATAGGGATAAGAGCGGCAGCTTTCAGTTTCAGAAGGAGAAGGATGGGTAAGAGAGATTTAACGATTTTCTTCTTCTTGCCACGAGCTGAAACATAATTCCGAAATATAAGGTCTCCAATTTGTTTCGACATGTTATAATTTACAAGCATATCCAAACTTTTTTCGTTTTTTTTTATATCTTAAAATTTCAAATAAAATTCATGCGTATTTTAACAGTCTAAAAAATATTCAATGATAGAACTTTAAAACTTTAAGAACGTTCTTTTTCTTTTTTTTAAATAAAAAATTAATTTAATTTAATTTTACCTTCATCAAAAGAGCGGGAAACGTCTTCGGGAAGACTCAATTCAACAGTATGCGTGGATAAGAATTTGGCGGCTCTGTCGACAATGGCCTGATCAATTGCAGCTTCCTTGGCTTCGGTCTCAACAGGTAAAGTATTTTCAATGTCGTTAAGAGACCTTGCATTGTCAGCTCGGCTGAAAAGAAAGAAATATGTTCGTTATATCAACATATACATATCGAGCTATCTTAAACTTCGTTAATAACTTTCTGTGCTACAATTTTTTACAACCGGACATCGTAGAGTCAAGTAGCATTCAAATTATATGTTCATTGATTACAACAGTAATTAAATGAGAGTAAAAAATTAATTCTCTATACAGTTCATAAAATAATAAATTTCAATGACAAATTCTTCTCTACTTGTCTCTTTTTTCTCTTTACAATTTATTCTTCTTAAGATCATACTTAAAGCAAATTTGAATCTAAAAATGATCGAATATTACAAAATAATTACTCAATCTAAGCTCGGTAATCAAATAGTGATAGTTTTTTATGGTTTATATTATATAAATAAATTCGTGCACTTTAGTCTATTAAAAAATATATGTTGAATATAAATTTATGCGTTCACTACACGAATCACCCCTAATAGCACACTTTATCCAGAGTACATCCTGGGGATGTCCTTAGGCTGTTCAAGGGACATATGGACGTCCTCTGGATGTCCTAAGGACGTCCCCTGAAGGCCTGTGTTGTTAGAGACCTGGGTCCCTATTCTTGAAAAAAAAAACGAAAAACTGGAAAAATACTATAGTATACATAACGTATATTATAGTACTTCCCTAGTTTTACGTATGCGATACTTTTCAAGAATAGGGGCTCTTTTTCATTTTTCACGTCTTAATTTCTCATATCGCCCATTATATGATTTGATGGTCAGTTACCGTAAGTAACTGTAAGTAACCGTACCGATCACTATCTCGAGTAAATCCTCGCGATCCCTTACCTATTTTTGGCATCTTCAGTCTGTACGATCTTGAATCCGTCAATGATCTCGATGTCGGCCGAACGAGCGGCACGGTCGACGTAGCGCAGGGCCTTCATCTTGAGACACACCGCAATACTCGATTCCCCGGAACAGGAAGCGTACACGTCGAGAGCTTCCTCGAGGATCGAGGGTGGCGGTGCCACCCCCGCATCCTGTGAGGCCGGTGCAGCGAGAGCGGATACCACGAAGAGTGCGCCGACTACCACGAATTTGAACATCTTGATGAATCTTCCAGACAGCGAAGGAAACACCGAATCGAATCAATTACTCCAACTCCTCGAAAACTTATCTTCACTTCTTCTTCTCCTTCTCTTCCTCGCGCTTTCTCGTCTCGATCTCGATTCTGTTTTTTCTCACACGTGAACGCTCGAACGAGTACGGCGATCGTATCGATACTGCCCGAAAGAATCACGATTGCTGCCTTTTATCCTCGTCGCGAAAGGGGCCCGCGTACGTTTTTGAAATTTTGATGGCCCCCACCGGATGGCCCCCGCCTGCTGCCGGGTTACAAACCCATACGAGCTATTGGTTCTCCTCCAGGCGGTCGTTTGTGTCGTATACGTCTCGCGTTGCGAATACGCGCCTCCACACCGGTCCTTCTCCACCGGTTCTCCTCTCCGTGTACCTGTGTGCCTACTTAGGCTGTTTGTGTACACAACGGGTGTGTTGACTGTCGACAAACCCGCCCCGTACGTGTGCGTAATTCGCATACAGACTCACAGTTCGTGAGAAGAAGAAAACGAGAAAGAAAGAAGAGAGAGACGGTGAAAACCGAGAGATGGATGATATGTACTTACGCACTACTGGCTTCTTCCTCCGGATCTCCAAGATCAGATCACAATCAAATCGAGAAGGAGAATTTCGGCACGAGCCAAAAGCACAGATAGCAACTAGGTAGAAGATGAAATGCGGAATGTCCTCTTGGAATATTCTTTTAGATTAAAAATAAAGATAAAGATAAGAAAGCAGATTTGTTCGATGTCATTCGGATATCATTCACCAATGTGCCAGTGATTGAGATTCTTATTGATTTAACGATTTCGCGCTAACCAATATGCAAATAACTATGGAAATTTGCGAGACTACTCTCACGAAAGATTTAGATGTTACGTCCTGTTTTTTATTTGCTAAATGCAATGGTGAAGATACAGCAGCTGCGACAGGAATTGCCTACTTGTCAGAACTTTCAAAGAGACACATGTGCAATGTGCTATGCATTAAAGATGAATTATCTGTGGTAGCATAAATTATTTGGCGTAGTCTTCTCTCCGGATGACTCTTGAGATGACTTGCCAAATTGAGTCACTTATCATAATTAGTTTCTAGGACAGAATAAGGGGACTGTCCATATTTAATTTATTATCGAATTGTATCTCTATTGTAATAATGTACTTCCACTTGCGCTTAAACTTTAAAGAAGAAATGTGTCTTAGAATCTCTAATGAACGCTACTTTTATTTCAAAAAATCTCATGGCACCATTTGCAAAAGATCTTATATTATGTTAATAGAGAAGTCGATAGTCGATTATATTGATCAAACACTCAAGATAAGTTTATGATTTCACTTTCAAAGTATATTTCACCGAGTACTTCTGTGCTACCAAGTAGATGATACTTTATTCGCGTAGACCTCAACAACTTTCCAATATGCTTATAATTTTATACGAGCCGATGATGGTCTTGCAAGAAGTCGCACCGCGACTCATTCATTATTATCTGTAATTGTGACGTTTCTCGCTTGCCGAAGCTTTGCTCTTATTATGGGATCATATTTTTTAAATTAACTTTATTACTATAGTTATATTTCCCAATAACATATCTCGATTTTCGCTGATGATAGTTACTTTTAGATTATGTACTTGTGATATTGCATTCCTCTTAATTTTCTATTCCGCTTACCCTCTTTCTCTTCCTATTTATCTATTGCTTTTTTGTTTTCTGTCCTTCATTCACTATATTAGTCCTACAACTTAAACATTGTTAAGTTAAGATCAATATGATAACCAGTCAGTGATCTTTGAAATTAATGTATTCCAGTGACTCTGTCGCACGGAACATTTAACGGTTTTTCACATGGAATGTGCGTGCATCACTGTGGTTCGATCATGTGTGTGAGTTGGGCCCAAGCCAGAGGTTTCCTTCAGGAGGACAAGCCGCGCCTCGCTACGTCTCACCTTGCCTTCCCTCGTTTCACATCACCGTGACCCGAAGGCTTCTTGTCTAGAAAAAAAGATGGAAAAAGGGAGGAGACATATCCAAAAGTATTTCATCGCTGCCAGTGTATCCATGTGCGAAGGAAAGAACTCGGATGTACGACTGACTTTCTCCGCGCTTCAAGTTCGAAGATGGTCAAACGAATCTCTGCATCGGTCCAGCTTACGTTCTCACGAAGTCACGAACTCGTCTTATCGAAGAATTTGCTTACGGTATTTTAACACGCGAGACAAGCTATTTAAATGAATGAAATCTTTATTTAAAAATGATGTCTAAAAATCAATTCTACAATTGTTCTTTTACTGTATTTATTAAATTGATGAAATTTACGTTAGAATAAGTAAAATAAATACCTAAAAGATACGTCAAATTAAAAACTTCTTTAAAACATATTTTATACAGATATATTTTCTGTTCTTATTGTCTAAAATATATTAAAACGCTTAACATTCTTTTGTTTTTTTTTTTTTTTTCAGTTAGAGATATAAGATACAAAGTATGAGAATATAAAAAAACTTTAATATTAAATAGTATGAGAAAAAAAAACTTCAATATTTGGTTTATGAAGATATACATTTTTTGTATAAACTATCGTGATGTAAAAACAACTGATGTAAATGTTAATTATTTCTATGTGTATTTTTATTGCTCTAAAATACTATTGTCTCTTTTCTTTCTCTCAGTTTATCGTGACTTCCTCGCGACAGTACATAATATACAATGGGTTTCAAGTGCAACTTTCACTTTGTTCCCGCTACTTTTTTCTCTCGTCTCGCACAAGAAACATTTATTTTCACGTTAGATTCCATTGTTGTCAAATGTCCCTTTATGATAAGCAAATCTGAAAGTTCTGCTAAAACTTACCATTATATATGTATATCTTATAAATTAACTTGTACATAGCATCGCAAACTAAAACGCTAATCCGAATGGTACATCGAGCTGGGTGGCAGCCGCGCGTACTCTTGGTGGTGGAACACTTTCCTCTCGTCGACGTCGGCGAGAGTGAACTCGTCCGAGGATCGAGGTCAGGTCAAGGCCCCCACGAAGTGAAGCCTCCGTACCTGAGAGTTCTCGCTCTCCTGCTTGTTCTGCTTCTTCTCATACCTCATCCTACACCTTCATATATTCCGTCCATTCGTTCGTGCGCTGACCGCTTCTTTAATGCTTATGAAACGTTTTTATAAAAAAGTTTATCAAAACGAACTATCACGATAAAAGAATAAAGAAAATATTTTTTACTACGTATAAAATCGTTTCTTAAATTTATTTATCCGAAGTCGTTAGAGTTGTACTTTTTTTCCTACTTTTTATATATGATGCGAAAGATAAGTGAAACGTGTATGAAAGTACATAATTTTGTGCAGTTATTACATGCATTTTATGTCGCTATGCGGGTTAGTAAAATCATAGTATTGATCCGTTTTGCTTCGTACCGTTGGGAATGAGAAGTAGGATATAAAAGAAAAAGAAAGAAAAGGATTCGCACCTTGCACGCTGGAAATACATGTGAATGAACGAAACGAAAGTTCTCGCCTCTCTTTTTTCTCATTTGCGTTTGGATGTGATTCCGTTGCTTTTTACCTAGCGATTAGCTCTTCTCTTTATAGTTCATTTAGAGCAAACGAGATGGACTACTAAAAAATCACACAGACGAATAAAGCCGCACAGACAAATGTACAAGGTCTAGATATGTATAATCGTTGAAATGATACACCCATTAAGATGCAAACAATAGGATAGGCAAGCAGATGAATGGTTAATAACTACCTCGTAATAACAGCGCACGCGATACCGCAAATACGGGTATTCTCTGTGCACAGCCCTAATTTGTTTATTCGCCGCCGAAGAAAGCAGCGATATTAGTACTTTCACGAGAATAAATTTGTGCTTAATATAAACTCACTCAACTAGTTAGTGCTAATTCTCGCGTATGACCTACATACACTTTCCTAATCCGTTCCTCAGCCTATTTTATTGTTCGCTGTTCGCCAATCATGATTGGAATTTCTAGGAATACCGTTGCAAGTACTGAGACGAGCAACATTGTTACTTTGAATGCATAAACGCATAAAATATCTATAAGCGATCGATACATGCCGTATCTAATAAAATAAAAAAAAAAAAGAAGAAGTGAAGAATTCCAAATCTCGATTCACTGAGACTCGATTACTATTGAAATTCAAACGTGGAAGGGCATTCCCAGCAAACGTATCAGGGATTGCTCGGCCAGAGATGCGTTCTTGAAAATCGACAAACTTCGGATTTGGATGAGAGATGGAGAGATCGATTGATGAGGACGAATACCAGGCTTCAACTTTTTCTCCAGTATGGTAGAGAGTGTTAGGCGCACCTTGAAAAGACTCAGCGCGGATGCTGACTGGCCCGATCGGTCTGCTCGGCCTGGTTTACTTCCCGAGTATGTGTCCACCGACTGGTCCCCGCGTGTACATCCTACGTATATACGCAGGCTCTCTCGTGAGCGCGCACGTGTACGTTTACACGCTCGAATACATCGTGGACGGGACGAGAGTCGAACAAGTGCGTAAAGATGGATATGTGCTCGCGTGGACACATCAGGTTTTATTCGTGCGTTTCTCGTATGTAGGTGATGCCGCTCCTTCCCTCAATCCCTCTATCTATGTATCTACGTATCCTATTCCGCTGCTCGCTACTTCGACGATCTTTCTCCATTTTTCTCAAAGAGACAACCGGAGACTTCGGAGACGTATGTCCAGTTAGTTGCACCGAAACGCTAAACCGTCATTCAGATGACAACTCATCGCGTACTCGGCCTATGCCCATAAAAGCCTTTCTCTATCTCATGTATTTATCTCTCGGCGCTTTCCACCTCTGATTCTCTCATCCCTCCATCTTTCGTCGCGTCTCGCGCATTGAGATCTCTTACTTTCGATCGCGAGTCCCGAATCAATGGGCCATCAGTCGGTCAGGCTCCAGTTCTTTTACACGCCTCATCGTCTGCTCGCATTTATCTCACTCATGCTCCTAGCATTTCGCTCTTTTCTGCTTGTTGCTCTCTCCTCGTCGCTCTACGATTTTAATCCGTTAGTTTCATCCGAATTTTAAATATCTCGAAGACGATACCGGAATTCCAGCTAGTAAGTGTGAAAATACGAGACAGTACAGTCGAGTATAATTAACACACAGTAAAAAGTTAAAACAACAAGCCATGCGTATCTGAATTTCATTCAAGGAATAGTAAGAATTCGTTGATAGGAAAGAAAAATGAGAAAATAAAACATACAGCCGTATTCGATAATTATAGACTTAATTTATTTGCGTATTTATAAATATACATATTTTATCGCAGCTACGCAAAACAATAAATATCGAGGATGATTGGTGCGTGAATGATTTCATACGTGCGATGATCTAAAATGTCGTAGAGTGAACACAACTGAATAAGAGACAGCGAAAAGAGAAATTACAAATATGAGAGTTTTATCAATAGTTTAGAGAGAATTATCCGCAAGATGGAAATAAATAAAAATTACACGAAAAAAAAGAAGAAAATTTTGCAAGAGGAAATGACGACATGATTAAAAAGATGCTATGATAACGTTTGTAATTTTTTTCCTAGATTGACGATGGTTTGTATGCGGAATAGGCGATATCATGTCCCGATCTCGCCCATCCGCCCGATCCATGTCCTCCCCCAACTTGAACGACTTCGTGTCCATGCTCGTGGCTACCAGATACGAGTTTCTTCAATCCGATGATAGAAGCGAGTACGAGAGCAAGTTTGCTCACTATCAATGCTTTACCAGCTAACAGCGCGAGAGCGCCGAGCGCCAGGGGTACTAATGTACCACCAATTAATAAAGGAATAGCAAGAAGACCACCCATTTTACCTTTCTTCTTACGACCTAGAAAAAATAATATAATTACGATTTAATGAAAAAAATTCTACATATATCTAACAATAAAATAATAGGATTATAACGAACAATTATTTAAATTAATCTCATTATAATAAAAATGTAAACTGTTTAAATTGTACCTATATTTTATATATACATATTTATTTCAATTATACAAAGATATTTTATTTTATTATTTATCACGTTATTGGAACAACTTTATTAACGGTATCTTCCTACCTTCTTCCGTGAGACTACGTTGAAATTCTTCTACATTCGGTAACTTTAGCTTTAGAGTATGACTTTGAAAGAATTTGGCAATTTTGTCGAAAATCATGTTATTAAGAGCGTCCTCTTTGTCTTCCAATGCTCGGGGTAAACTAGCCTCAATTTCCTGCATAGATTTTTCTGGTTCAGATTCATTAGTAGATGATTCATCTTGAACTAGCGTGACGCCATCAGCTACATTCAATTGTGCAGTTCGAGAAACCCTATCTATAGCCGACAAGAGTTTCAGCTTTAGACAAGGACTTAGTTCCGCACCGGAACATTCCTTGTATACTTGATAGACAGAGCGTAAGTCGCTAAATAGGCCATTACTATTCGATCTTGCGGTTTGTTGCTCATTGATGGAATTAGATATGGGATTAGTTTCAGCTGATCTCGCAGAGACCGCTGTTAATACAGCCAGACATATATAATAGTGCGCAAACTGTTTCATTTTGCAAAGTGAATATCTGCGAAGAAATATTAATTTGACATTCACACTAAATGATTAATATATCAATAATTTAGTTCTATAATTTAATAATCAAGACAATTATCTGTTGATCTAACATGTTGATAGAGTAAGCCAACTAATAAATAAATCAGTTATTAAAGGATAAGGTAATTATTTATTTTCGTATATGTAATATGTGTATAAACATAAATAATTTTTTAATAGTTCAAAATTTTTAATTGTAAGAAAATCGTTATTCATACCACAATTAACTATATTGTTAAAAAAATTATAATTGATTAAAATTTATTAAACTTAGAAAAAATCAACTTCTAAATTTATAAAAAATGTTTATGCCCTATAAAATATATCTCAAAGCATAATTTCTATTCAAGAATATATCATGATATTCTTCGAATCACTTTTGCGTTATCTAACTCAGGATAAATTCAGGACATATTTTTATATAAAATCGTATGTGTGTGTATGTGTATTTCTCGTATATATCACAGGTCTATAAAACTTCAACACTTAATACGATTGCTCAAAGTTCGAATGAAGCCACGCAAGTCAATCACTGTACCTTCCACGTGGCTCGATATGAAAATCAAATTTGTCCTTTGCTTCTCTCTTAGCTATCCGACTGCATCCACGCGGGTACCGACTTTTGGTTAATTTGGTTAATACCACGATGCGTATATACCTGAGAGCGTATATACGAGATGCGTGTATACCTGAGAGCACTCTAAGTAGACTGTACGTAACGGAAGCCCTGCCCTAGCTCTATATATCTAGCCAGGTATACCTCCGTACCGAGCGATATTCTCCCCACTCGGTTAGCATCAGTATTTGCCGCCACCATTTCGCGACTATTTTCATACTCGGACATTGATTTGAGAACGGTTTGCTTTTACACTTACAACCAACCACCCGGGAGGGCGAGAGTAGAGAGCAGAATTCCATGCGCTTCATGATCTATCGAGTGCTCCCCCCGGATTTGTCTCCCACCAGCGACACGTTAGGTGCATCCGAGAGATTCCATCGCAGTTTTGCCATGAGCGGAGTTCCGTGCTTTCCTGAGGATCTCTTCTTCTTCTTCCTCTTAATTATCCTTCGCCCGTTCGCACGTTGATATCCAATTATTTGGACCGCCGAATTATTTCGACCGGTTTAACCGCATTTTGTTCGTATCGTTATTCCGTTGCCCCTCTTGTGCGTAGGCGGCACGTTTATACTTACGTATTAACTGCCAGTCGACGCGGTTCGATGATCCCGCTTTTGTTCCTTAGATCTAATTTCTCGTCGTCACTCAGGTTCATGGAGGCATAAAAATAAGATTGAAAATGAAAGGAATGAACCCATTTCGGAATGAGCCGTTGAAAACGCAAGATACACGCACCAAAGTGTCAAGTCGAAATATTAGAATATGTCGCGGATGTACAATAGAAAGCGCATTGAATGACGTTCACACGCGGTCATTGATATATTTGATAAGCAGGAAGCGCAATAAAATATAAAGTGTGTTATTGGCACGGGGCTACATACCCATAGATTATTCTCTCCCCGTTTATGATACTATAAAATCGTTTCCTTAAACCAAGGCGGCGAGGTAATTTTTAGGAATCCGTTGCGAGTCCTGTCTGTCTTTTTCCTAGACTGTCTTAATTATTTGAGATTTTTTAGCGGTAATACCAAATTTAGAGATTTAGTAGAAGAGATTATATTTCCAAATATAATACCTGAAAATGTTTCATAAAAAACTTATCCAGATATTGATCGAGACAGTTTAAAGTTACTACGATACAAAATTATCATCATCACATATGTACGATTGGATATAACTGCATTTCTCAAGTATTGGACACACAGTTATACTACTGGCATTAAACTTGTGATTCTTTGGTTCAGCTATTAAATCAAGGTGACAATGTACGTTCCACTTTTCAATGAAAGATCGAACAAACGTTTCCCTTTACGCACTAACATAATCATGTCATCGAAAAAGAGAAACGATGAATCGGCGAATTAACGTATACCGTTACGCGCGTTAGGCACAATTTCTTCATCCAATTAATCATCTAATTCACATGACGCTTCATCCTTCTACTTGGTCCTTCGTATCCTTGACTTTTCATCCTGTTCAATTCGACATACGCCAATGGACACAGCATTAACTAGGTCATACTAATTGTAAGTGAAAACTCATAGCACGTATATATATTATTACTTGGATACTTCGGTTTCCACAAGGAAAAAAATAAAACAAAGATCATCACGTGAAATAAAAAAAATAGTAAAATAATCTTTATAATCGTAGAAATATTATTAGAATATAATTTCCTTAGCGCATATCATTGTACTACCCCCTTCGTCTTCATTAACACAGCGTTAAAACTGTCAGCGCATGACGTTTTCATTGAGTCACACGCTACTCAAGAAAGCATTGCGACCGGATAACGGATGCGAAGGAAAGAGACGCTTCTTCTTCTCATTCTCGATCGTTTCGCAGTTCGTTCCCCGTCGCGCCGCGTTGTCGTCACGAGTCCACGCGACTGCAATGCTGCCGGCCGGAACTTACCTGCATAATGTCGCGTTACCGATTTCTCATACGCATACGTGCCGTGAAAATGATCTCCTAACGCGACGGCGCGGCATGGCGAAAGCGACGGATCTCATCCGGACGTAGGACATTACGATAAGACGCGAGATAATAATCGTGCGTCCAGGTTCCATTTCCGATTCGCGGAACCATCGGGCCGCAGTTCTGAATTCCATTTTGCACAACCGTTTCGTCGTACGGTGATTTTCTCCAACCGGCCCGATACGCGTGGCTGCTCGGCCGATGAAACTGTCGTTATTATACATCCTTTTTCTTCTTTAAGGCCACTCTGGTAACAGCGGGAAGAGCAGTGTTACCCACGGTATGCAGGTTACCAGTTGTACCTGACTGCCTGTGTGTCCGGTTTTGGAGGATAATTACTGGGTTAAATTAAATATCGACTATGTTATACCGTGATTATGATGCACTTTTTTATTCCCACTATACCTATGAATCAGCGAAAAATCTAGAAAAATCTTATTTAAAATTCACGGACGCTTTATGTAGAATTAATCTTTGTGAGACTAATAATGAGTCAAATTAGTGTCCTATATTAATGTTTATATGACATGGAAACACATTTTTCTAATATTAATGCTACTCACGCTTTTATATGAATATTAACTTGTGTTTTGCAATGAAGGTTATATTTTAAAGATAAATTAACTTTTTATAAATAATTCAAATCAAGTAATCTCAATTTTTGCAGAAATAAATTAATTATATATGAATATACATACACATGTGTGTGTGTGTGTGTGTGTGTTGTGTGTGTGTGTGTGTGTGTGTGTGTGTAGAAATAGCTAAATAAAAAATAAGATGTGTTCAATCAATATTAATCCCTTTTGAGTTTTTGAATAAGAAAATTGCTTTGAATTTCTGCTAAGTAGAAATTTGCTAATAATTCTAATAAAAATAGGCAACAAAAAATGCAAAAAGGAGAGAAAGACAGAAGTTGCAAATTATTTCTGCCTATATCGTAAATTTACATTTATAAATGAATCGTACATGATCCTGTATATATTATATGATATTGCGTTCCTGTAATAGACCGTCTATGTTGCACATTCCTCGACTACTTTCGCCCGCGCTTATAAACTTCATCCTATTTTCTTTATCTATTTATGTATGGAAAATGTGGTACAGCAGCGCATCCGGTCTATGATCGTCTTGCTACGAGTTCAATAGACCGTATTTCACGGCCTTACGTTACGCTTTATGACTACGAGTGCAAGTGCAGTATTATGTATAAATAGAAGCACTCGGTCATGAACCACGGTCACTTTTACGAGAGCCGCAGGATGCGCTGGTTTCTTCGGCCGGCGAACGTTATAGATGAACTTATCAATGAAACTTTTTTTCTTCGGGATAAGGACGGAGGCATCTCATTTGTTGTTTTTTTTATTACAAAAACAGGAGGTGTCATATGGAAGCACGCAGTCGAACATCAAATAAATATTAATTAATATAAGATACAACGAATAAATAACGAATTCACATAGGCTACGTATATAAAACAATGAGCATCTCCCAGAGGTACTGGTGACTGGCCGCGGAATCGGCCATGTTATATAAGGTAAAATAAAAGAGAAGAAGAAGTTAAAGAAGATAAGAATCAGAATATAAGAGATCACGTAAGGATGAAAAAAGGATAGATAGATTAATTCGAGAAGATTTTAAACTGAAAATAGCGAAATCTCGAATCAAAAATAACATTGGAAATCGTAGGTAGCGGCATATTTTCTTGGAAAGTAGGAGATAGATTCATAGCAACAGTAAGAAAGGAAGTAAGTAAGAAAGGAAAAAGGAAAGAAATAACGAGGAATGCAGCAAGTGAAGCAGGCGTGAGTGTAATGAAAGGGAAGAGAATCATCAGAAGAAAATGGAAGAGAAGCGAGAAGCGGCGCGGGACGGAAACTTTCTATGGTACGCTTAAGCTTGTGGTTGGGGTTGGTGGGCGCGATACGCAATTTCATGAGCATCTTGTGGCAGACTCCTGGCCCATCCGTGTCCACTGGTACCGTAACCACCGCCAAAGTCACCGCCGCCGCCGCCGCCGCCGCCACCGCCGTAACCGCCATGGTCATCATGGCTAACGTGGCTGCTGGTGTGATGCGGATGCGAAACTACTTCGTAAGTCACATGCTTCTGGTGAGAACCGAGAAGTTTCTTCAGCCCGATGATGGCTGATATCACGAGAGCGATCTTGCCCACGAGCAAAGCCTTGCCAGCAATCATGGCAATCGCTCCGAGTGCCAGTGGTAATAAAGCGGCCGCTTTCAGAGCCATGGCCATCATCAGGGGTCCTAAGATTTTTTGCGCCTTCTCTGTAATATTTAAAATGTTTATATTTTAGTTTATCAAAATAAGGGATAGATATTTGTCTCGGATATATTTCTTCAAAATTACTCTTGAGCTTCTAGCTGTTTAATGTGATTTTATTAGCATATAAATATGTTTTAAAATCGTATTTGTTTACTATTTCTGTCATACTTTACTTTAAACGCCTGAAAGTATATCTTTGATTAAAAAAAAACGTGTTTTTATATATGTCTATTTAGAATTTATAATCGTATTATTGTAATTAATGTAAATTATTAGTCTGTTCAGACATTTTATTTGTAAAATAAGATCAGCATGTATGTAATTCATATATTTATGTATATTTTTTGCTAATTATGAAATGTAATTCATATATTTATGTATATTTCTTGCTAATTATGAAATGTGAATATGAAATATGAATTGTGAGGTTTGATGTTATCATTCTCTTTTCACACTTCTGTGGAGAATGGGAATTTGAGTACATCGTCAGCTGTATAGCAGGCATAGTTTAAGAATATACAATTTTCATTCTATAATGCGAATTACCTTATTATTTGATGTACTATCAACTTATCTATGTTTTCACGGAATGATATATTTATGCATACAAAATGCGTACAAAATGCATATCATCTTTGTGTGCTTATTTATAGTTGGTCATGCATTTAGGTTCAATTTGAGAAAGATATAAAAATCTTCAATTATAAGAAAAGTTAATTTTATTAAAAGACAATATCAATTCTTAGATAGTAATAATTAAAGATTTAAAAATCTGATATAAAATTAATATAACAAAATATGATTTTCAAACTTTGA